AAATCAGTTGCTGCTGATGTGGATGGCTCATCTAAACCGCACTTTTGTACTAAGAATTTCTTCATAACATTGCTGAGCTTTCTTTCTTGTTCCTCATTCTTTAAGCGTTTCTTTTTGTATTGACTTTCAGATAATTTTTTTCTTTTTTGTTCCATGCTGACGATTGCTGTCACTGCTGGGATAAATTTTTGTAAAAATTTTGTAAAATCTTTGTAATGTCATCATGTTTTTAACATTTAAAAACATGATGACATTACAAAGTTAAAATTTAACTTGCAAAGACAGGCAAACACAAACGTTTAAAAACGTTTGAAAACAGTATTTTGAAACATAATAAGAAAATAGTCCACGCTAATATGCGTTTCAAAACGTTTTTATTCATATTGAAAGGAATAGCAAAAGCGAATGCTAAATGAGGGAGAAATTTTTTTTTATTTTTATAGAAAAATGTGGACAATGAAAAAACTTTCAAAGTGATAAAAACATTCACGAGTTTGGTAGTAATTAAAATTTAAATGAGTCCAGTTTATGATTTAGTACCTAATTATTATTGCAACCCTGAAATTGCATTTTGATTTCGCTACTTTGCCGCCCCTTAATGGTGCCGCCTGAGGCGGCCGCCTCTTTGTATCATAGCACTGCACGGCCCTGACCTTGACCAATCTCACGAAAAGCTATAACCATTTGATAATTAATGCAGCTTACACATTTTCCTAAAGTAAGTTTATTTGTTTTTCTGAGAGCTTTCAAATTCATATTTCCAGTCACAATTTGTGCAATTCAAACATAGAAGATAAGAAAATCCCTTTTTTTTTTTGAAATTGTTTGATAAAGTTACTGTTTTCTTACATTTAAGACAAAAATTAAATTTTACAAGCTCATTCTGAAGAAATGAAAAGTTTATTAAAATGTTATAATTATCGTTGTTGATAAATGAACTACTGCATTTTTTCTTTCTAAGTTTTCTTTCACTTAAACAAGGTTTTTCGATTTGCATGGTTTTATCATCAAGTTTGTTGTTTTTTGTGAATCTGTTACCTTTAAACTTCATCTTTTTCTTTGCTTTTAAAGACTTTGGCATTTTTTAAAAAACAACTAATATACTTAATAAATGTTTTTATAATTCTAAATAAAATAAATAAATAAGGGACAGCACCAAACAATCAATTATTGTATTTGTAGTTAGGTGTCTACTTCACTTTAAAATTTGAATTTGCAGTCGTGATTTAATGAAAATAATGTGATTTTAGCTAATGGATTTAAGACATTTTATTAAAAAAAACTTATTTGTAAGATTCAATGCGACCCCCCTGTTTAAAAACATGGATATATAACTAAATTTTTGGGCAAAACCAAATCTTGCTTGGCGTTGCCAAGGCGTTGCTAAGCGATTAAAATTATACCTGGTTTTTTAAAAACCTTATACCTCCTAATACTATTTAAAAAACATATCAAAGTTAAACGTATTTGAAACCAGCATTGAATTCTACATAAATTGAAATAAAAGTTCCAAAATCGTTTTTTTATGATTTTAATGCTTTAGTACCACCTTAAACAATTTCGCTATGATATTCATTGAATTTTCTGGAAATCTCCATATTATGATTGTCATGCTGTCATTAATATTTGATTTTTTTTCATTTTGATATCTAGTATTTAAAAATAAAACTAAAAAAACCCAAAAAATAGGGTGACCATATTATAAAAAGACAAAACCGGTACACGAAAATAAAAAAAAAGTACGGTAAAGGTACGGTAAATTACTTAGTGATCTCTAAAACGCCAACCTGAAGTGATCTCTAAAACACTTCAAAAAAGAGCCTAAAGTATATATTTAAAAACTTTGCATCCGTATTTAAGTGAAGACAACTTTTTCCGAAGAACAAGCAAAAAATTAATAAAAAATTGCTTTATTCTATGAATATACTTACTATTAAAATGTTCCCTGGACACTAGTTTATAACCACGTTTTGCCAAAGTAACCAGTCTTCACTCGGGAAATAAATGTTTTTTGTAAGTTGTATATAATGTTAGTGAATTGTTATGCATCAATCATATAACCGCGTGCATCAATCATATTTTTAGTTTAATCCGACTTGCTTTAGCAATTTTTTTTTCAAAATAACATATTCATAAAATTCCAGGAAGTTGAAATCTTAGTTCGTTAACTTTCGTTAATGATCGACAGTTTAAAAATAAATTAATGCGCATTTAAAGTATATATATAAAAAATTTGGGTATAAAATAATTAAGTATGTTTATAAAGTCTTTTAATTAAAAAAATTTCTCCTTCACTGTTTTGTAAGGCTAAAATAGAACACGCAAATGCAATAAAATTCGAAATTTTAAAATTTTATTATTTAAAATTATTCATTTTTTGATTTTTTTTTCAAAAGCATAACTGTTTCAAAACAATTGACTATCTCGATGACCTTTTTCGGGACGCCGGGACAGCAAATCTAAAACCGGGACCGAATCTAAAACCGGTCTGGTCACCATGCCAAAAACCCACTTTCTGAAATAACAAAAAGTGAGTTATTTTCAGCTCTGATAATATAACCAACAACACGTAGAATATTCAGAATCGAGTGTAGGGGAGAAATACTCCTATTGAATTATAAAAAACCCGTATCCGCATCCCGCATTACGTATAAATCTGTGATAATTTTACATGAGTTATATTTCGTAAACAACATGCGTAATTTATTTAAAATATTTTTTAAAATATATTTTTTAATTTACAAAATCTCCATATTATAAATAACTTCTATTTTTAAGTATTTATTATACTTTATTTTACAAAGTATTTATACTTAGGAGATTTTTTTATATTAAAAAAAAATACAAAAAACTTTTTTTCTCTATTTTTTCTTATAATCATATTTTTGAATTATTTGTTTAGTTTTTTATTTTACTTTTTGAAAGAGATTATTTTTTGTTAGGAAAACGTTTTTGTTTATTTGTTGTATGCATCTTTAATTTTTAGATAAAAAATTGTAGAGCATAGATTAAATATCCTGAATAACATATCACTTGTAGTTTTTTTTGTGCGCAGCTAGTTGATTATATCATTTTTAAAAGGGGGTCTACTTTAGGGGGCCACTCTCCCCAATATTTAACACAACACGTTGTTAAAAAAACTGAAAGAAGTTAGGTGGCTTAGTAAACACGCTATTTAAAAATAATCGCTGCTTGCTTTATTCATTACATAGTATGTAAATTTTTACGGATAAAAAAGATACTAAACTTTTTTTCTAAAATTTTATCGCACACTAATTTCGCTGCAGACCTGCTGGATTGTCTACGCTTTGTAAATGAAAACATTTGGTTGCTTAAGTTAAAGATTTTAAAATGCTTTTTTATTCACTATGATCAAAGCTGTTACTTTAAAAAAATAAATAAGGTATGAATGAATGCTTAAGAAGCTATACTAAAGAGCGTGATTTGGGATTTGTTTTTACATCTAACCACACGTGGAGCACACATATTCATTCACAAATTTCTTAAAAATTTTGGTATGTTAAAGAAGGCATTCATTTTCATTGATGGAAATATGGCTAGTTAAATAAAGTGTTTGTAAAACTGCAGCTTGAATATGCAGTGTCTGTTTGGGCTTCTTATTTAAAAACTAATATAGCCTTTGTTGAATCTGTTTAACGCAAAATGAGCTTCCAGCGTGAGACAACTTTATACTGGGTAAGATTAAAAAGTTAAATTTACCATCACATATCTTGAGTCTTGGCACTTACGATGCGATCCAATCCAAATTTATAATCTAATACATCGTTTTGATATAGTTGATAATATGTATCTACAAAAATCTTTGCCCCATGGTCACCTTTATAAAATAAGGCGTCTGAACAAACTACTTGAACTTAAAAGTCCACTAGACCTTTTTTTTCAAAGAAGACTAGGCTCCTGGTTGGATTAAAAATTTAGAGCAAATTTTTATAAAACTTGTTGTTTTTAGAGGGGTCGCTGAATTTATCTACTACTCATTGTATGTAAATATTTATGACTACACTTATAATAATAAAAACAACTACATGCATTGCAATGTAGATTAATCTAACTATGTGCAGGCCCTACGAGAGAGTAGCCACATGGGTCATATGGCCTAGGCCTTCGATTATGTTGGGGCCTCACGTTTTCAAAATATATTTTTTAAACATCGAAATAATAATTCGAAATTTCTAGTTACACTAAGAAAAGTAACGTCCCAGGCCTCCATAAGAAATGTGTTATTAGTAGACAAGCAAATTTCTCGGCTTGTTGACTTGCTAAAACAAACAAAAAGGGCCTCGTATATGAGTGACAGTCTGTCTTTAATTGCTTTAGTTGACAATCTGTTTTTATTGTAATAGTTACAGACTTATATGGTCCCAATTTATCTGAAGACTTAAATTGGCTTTGCATCAACTTGTTGCATTTTACGCAAAATGTCATCTTGGGGCCTCCAATTTATAACTGGCCTAGGCTTCTCTAAACCTCTGAAAGGGCCTGCCTATGTTTTTTATTTTAGGTACCTCAAGAAGTCCTTAGAGTCTTATTTCAGAGCATCGCGGAGTAGCATTTTACAGGAAGTTATCCCAACCACTGTCACAAAACTTCCCCAGAGGTCGCTTTGAAACGCAGATTTCTTTCTTCTTAGGCAAGCGTGTTAGCACTACGCCGCGTCTGTTTATTTTAATGGAGTAACAAGGAGGGGGTCGGGGGGCAAAAATGAAAATTGCCCTGGGCGCAAAGACTTAAAATGGCGTTGAAAAAAACATAAATAACTAACATATTTTTTTAATTCAATTGGTGAATTTGCGCCCTCCTAATTTTGGCGCCTGGGGCTACGGTCCAGTAATTAGAATAGAATTGAACTAGTTATGTTTAATTTATTTATTTTTCATGTCATTTAATGTTTTTAAAACGATTTGTGGCTATGAAAATAGCCGTTTTTTAAAATTGATAGGATTGTATCATTGACATTGGAAAGTATCACTGATATCTGCATCTTTGATTGAAATATGGACACACTCACAATGATACCACTGTGGACATTTTGTGCATTGCACCCAATAGTTCTTCTCAAAGGATGTGTTCTTGCAAATCTGTAATAATATAATGTAAAAAGGTTATTCCTGTATTCACTACAACAACATCTATTACTCTATCTCAAATTTCATAGACTTTTTCATATATTTTTTATATTTCCTAATTTCTAAATGTAACAACGGTATATATTTGTTTTTCGCCAACCGAATCGCATTTAATTCATTGTCGTCGAACAAAATAATAAAGGATAAGAACAAAAATATTTCCTAAAACGTTCAAAACCACTTTCAAGGTTCTTTAAACACCTACCGCATAAAGTCTCGTAAATATATTTACGAAATTGTACTTCGTTAAATGGATCATTAATATTTTTTTCTGAAAACACAATTTTAAATGAATTTATATAAATACAGAAAATAAAAAATCGTGTTATGAATCATAACACGGTTTTTTTTATCATAAGTTATGATGCATTTTTGAATAGTCGCAAATTATAAGTAATGCAAGCAATTAACAATTATAACAATTAACAATTACAGCATTAAATAATTTTATGCAATAAATGAAATAGTTAATAAATAAATAAATTTATATATGAATTAATTATAAGCAACATAACAAAAAATTAGTTGCAAAATTGACAACTAAAAAAAATACTAACATATGAATATATATTATACAATATATTATTGAAAAATAGGGATACCTTCACAAAGATGTAATGCATAATAGCATACGTAAACACCGCAGTTGTAACTATCCTTCTGTAAACAATGATTTGGGGCTGAAATAACAGTTGGGTTTAAATTGTTAAATTTTAGTCTAAAAAGGTCTTTAGCAACAGCAATGGATTTATTGTGTGATAAATTATTTGGCATAATATTGCAATGGAGAGGATCAAGTAGAGTTACTTCTTTTGTTATAACTTTTAGATGTATTAAAATCCAATGAGAATTAGTTGGGTTAAAATGAATAAAAACTTGTTCTATAACTTTAGTATCAACATCTTTCCATAAAAGCCTTAAACTTCTTGAACAGCTGAAAGCTAATGCTTCAGTTGGACCTAAATATTTAATTAAAGGGTACCTTTTTTCTAAGCAATGCAGAAAACCTCCTATTACTTCATCTTGAAGCCAGCCTTTTTGAAAACTTGGAGTGCTATTTTTTAAATTAAACAAAACGTCAGATGGTATAATGTTTTCTAATGTTAAAAGGGAAATAAAAGATAGTTAGTGAGCGCCATGCCTAAATACATACATACATACATACATACATACATACATACATACATACATACATACATACATACATACATACATACATACATACATACATACATACATACATACATACATAATATATATATATATATATATATATATATATATATATATATATATATATATATATATATATATATATGTATATATATATATATATAAATATATATATATAAATATATATATATAAATATATATTTATATATATATACATATATATATATATGTGTGTGTTTGTATATATATATATATATATATATATATATATATATATATATATATATATATATATATATATATATATATATATACAAACACACACACATATATGCAAATAATTTATATTTTACACACAAATATAACTAATATACTGAAGGAAATATAGTTTATTTTCTTATTTACTCTGTAATATATTATCCATTACATCCAATTAACTTGAATAAACCAACTTGTTTAAAAGCTAAAATATTTGGAGATAAATTGATTAGTAACAAATATTTGAATATGTATTTAAGAAAGCTTACGTAACGAGAGTGTTAGTGAAATCACTTGGTTCAATGTTATCGCATATTTTTGTATTTTGCTTATCATGAATTAGATCAACATGTTGCTGAGACATTTTCAGAACTATCTCCTCTTTTTGGTTTTGTGCAGGATATTGATATGATTTTATTTCCTTTTTCCTATTTCCTTTTCTTGTTCTCTTAAATTTATTAGGCTGCCATTGATTATCCATCTTCTTATTTGGTTCAAAATTTAAAAGGTTATTGTGTGATGTTGGCTCTGTAGGTATCTCAATTAAATTAATATTTTTGATGGCTTCAGCTTGTCTAATCATGTCTTCCAGTTGTCTGTTTATTGAAGGAAGTTGCAAATTTATTATCATGAGATGAGAAAATAATGTAGATAGTTCATCAATATTTTTTTGAAACCTTTCAGACTCATTAATAAATGTTTGAGATTTTTGCTTCACTTGATTATTACCTGTACCAACAGCTAAAGATTCTTTTGGGCAGTTTTTTTCTTGAGATCTCAGAAGAAATGATTGTAACTTATGAACATGCTTGTAAAGGATTACAATGTCATTACAACTACACCTATATAAATGCTCACACAAACCATTACAGGCTGGATTTATACATGACTCCAAAAACAAACTTTCCTTACAAGCTTCAGTTAGAATGTCAACATTGTATGTTACATCTTTTGATTGACTTTTAACTGTGTACTGAGTTAATGAACATTTACTAATACATTTATCAAAATCAACATTCCTTTTTCATGTCTTTTTTTATACTTTTTTGGGAGAGATATTGTTCCAAGATAAATAGTGTCTCTTTTGTGGTGCCAATAACTATTTTCTTTGATTGTTAAAAGTAAATTAATTAAATCGTCTAACCTTTTATTAGGTCGTCTTTCCATATAAACTGTTTTCAATTTGTTATGAAATAATTCACATAACATATTAGTATCAGTGTCTGCATGTTGAAAGTTGCGATAACAAGAAGTCCATTTTAGATGTTGTGGAGCTTAGTATGTAACAAAGTAACTAATGAAGTTAGGACATTTATGTTCATATGCCTTTACAAAACCATTCATATTTGATAAAAAAACATCAGGGTTTTTTTCGTCAATGATTGTCTCTAAGATCCTATAAACTTCTTCTTGTAAATTAGTTGGACCAACTAAAGGAAGTTTATTGCGCCATGCACATTTTTTATGCCATTTGCATAGCAAGTGGCGCACATCTCCAAAAACATTAGTAAAAGCATTCCATCCTGACAAATCATCATCTGTCATCACAGCATTAACATTTACAGAATTATTGCATCTTCTTTTTATTTCCTCTAAAAATGGTGCATGATTGGAAATAAAAAAAGCTACTGGATAACCCCTTTTAAATTCATCTCGAACTAGTAAAGTTACAAGAGGGAATGCATACTGATTGGTACAATGTGTAGCATCAATACAAACAATTTGAGATAGATGTGTTTCAAACATTGATAATCGATGCTTTGTTTGTATACCAACCACAAAGGAATCCTTATTAAGGTCAATGTCATCATACACCTTTGGGCCAATAACAGTTTGCTGTCCTTGTGACTTATAAACGAGAATGCTATTAAAATCTTCAGACTAAGTTGAAACGCTATCATCAGGGTGAAGCCGACATCCTTTTTTTACTGCTCTGCTGATATCAGAAATGTTTTTTTAAGAAGATGTGATTTAGTTAAAACAGTATCTTCATCATTTCTATTTTGTCTCCAAAACTTTCTCAGATCACGATAAACTGTATTTACAGGCACACCTATTGATAATTTAGTAGAAATGTTTTTTTTAATATTACCTGGTATAGGTTGATACATGGTATTTGTAATACCAATACTGTGGTTATGAGTTTTAATATACTGAACATTAGTGACACCATTTATGTTTACTTTGACAATCATCCTGGCAGGGCAGAAAGCACCTGATTTAACACTCCCTCTGTAGTACCTTTTATTAGTTTTTCTTAGCTGGTTCACTAACAGAGCGATGCGGTTTTGAATGACCATCATTTTGACAAATATAATAACTTGTTTTTATATCTTTATTTATATTTTTTCCAGTGAAAAAACTACCAGTTTGTTTACTGAAAAAAACATAACTATTAAGTTCCTCTTTTTCCTTCCATGCTAAAAATTCAGATTCTGATAAAAAAATGTAAGATTCTTTGGTAAATATACCTTCATGACACTCCTCTATGTGTTTAATAAGTTTGACGTTTAGAAAAAATACTTGGCTGCAGTTTTGATAATGACATGGCGTTCTTTTATCTTTGGATTGATTATCTCTAAAAATGGTTTTATGTGCCTGTAATGCATGTCTTTTCATGTTATCTTTTCTTGTAAACGACATCATACAAGCAGAACACATAAAGCTAAAAACAACAACTTTTAGTTAGGACTTTATATACTTTAGTTACTTATTGATATAAATTAGGTACTTTACCTAGGTTTCTTTAACTGAATTTCTGTTAAACTAGTTGATGGATTGATTGATGACAATGCTGAAAAAAAACTGATGTAAATTGATTTCCTTTAAAATCTAACTTATCTAGTTTAAACCTTTAAAAAAGAAGATTCTTATAAATAAGAGAGGAGATTTACTCTTTTAATTAAAACTTGAAAAAAGTAAAACTTATTCTTACAACAAAAACTTAATAAAGGGGAGAATTACTCTCACCACAGAACACTGCCAAATAGGTTTACTTTATCAATAAAATTATTCTTTTTGATTATTTAATTTAAAAAAAAGGGGAGAATTACTTTCATTTGAAAAAAAAAACTTAAGAGTGGAGATTTACTCTTAAAAAACTTGAAAAAAGTAAAACTTATTCTTACAACAAAAACTTTAAAAAGGGGAGAATTACTCTCATCACAGAACACCGCCAAATAGGTTCACTTTATCAATAAAATTATTCTTTTTGATAACTTAATTTTGAAAAGGGAAGAATTACTCTCATCTGAAAAAAAAAAACTTAAGAGAGGAGATTTACTCTTTTAAATAAAACTTGATCAAGTTTTGTCAATTTTGTCAATTGAACAAAAGTAAAACTTACTCTTACAACAAAAACTTTAAAATAGGGAGAATTACTCTCACCACAGACTACCGCCAAATATATTCACTTTATCAATAAAGTTATTCTTTTTGATTATTTAATTTTGAAAAGTGGAGAATTACTCTCATATGAAAAAAAAAACTTAAGAGAGGAGATTTACTCTTTTAAATAAAACTTGATCAAGTTTTGTCAATTTTGTCAATTAAACAAAGTAAAACTTACTCTAACAACAAAAACTTTAAAAAGGGGAGAATTACTCTCACCACAGACCACCGCCAAATAGGTTCACTTTATCAATAAAGTTATTCTTTTTGATTATTTAATTTTGAAAAGGTGAGAATTACTCTCATATGAAAAAAAAAAAACTTAAGAGTGGAGATTTACTCTTTTAAATAAAACTTGAAAAAATTAAAACTTATTCTTACAACAAAAACTCTAAAAAGGGAGAAATTGTATTTTTGGCCACTTTTTGAGAATTAGGAGGCATCAAGTTATGTCCACTGCAAATTTTGGGCATAAAATAAGCTCAATTTTTTACTTATTTTTTTTTTTACTTATTTTAATTTACATTATTGTTCATCAGATTCCCAGATTTTACAATATAGACCTAAAAAATTTTTTTAACCTGTCTTCAAATAAAAGTAAACGAGGTGAATGATAACATGAGAAATTTAAAAAACCCAAATAAACTCTACAATTGTCACTGATAGGGTATGTATATCAATGATATACATTAAACGATGATATTATCATTGTTTTTACTTAAAAATTAGATATTACTTAAGGTTAACACAAACTTCTTAACTGTTATGCTATTGATAAACAAAATCTAAATAAAAAATCCAAGACTAAATCTAAATAACTCTTAATGTTCATTATTGATTTATTATTGTCAACTTCTCATGAACATTAATATATATATATATATATATATATATATATATATATATATATATATATATATATATATATATATATATATATATATATACATATATATATATATATATATATATATATATATATATATATATATATATATGTGTGTGTGTGTATATATATATATATATATATATATATATATATATATATATATATATATATATATATATATATATATATATATATATATGTATGATTGTATGTATATATACCGTATATATACATGCATATATAATATGCGTATATATATGTGTGTGTGTATATAAAAAAATTCAGTAAAGTCTACCATCTTTCTGAAATAAAATAACCTTGTTATATAAGGATGGTTATTGCTATTGGATTTGAAGGTAGTGCTAATAAGATTGGAATAGGAATTATTCAAGATGGTAAAGTTTTATCAAATCCACGACACACTTTTATTACTCCCCCTGGCACAGGTAAATATAATATACTATGTTTAATATTTTACTTTTTTTAACTAATATATATATATATATATATATATATATATATATATATATATATATATATATATATATATATATATATATATATATATTAAAATTATATATAAATATGTAATAACGTAATTTATGTAAGTTTAAAGTTATGTAAATGTAAAAAATTATTTAATATAAATTATTTAATATAACGTTTTAAAAAAAACTTTTTTTATTAATTTATGATGTTAAATTTACATATATTAGATAATTACATATTTATATATAACTTTAATAAATTTGTGATACGGCAATCGCATCCCGAGCCGATGATATATATATATATATATATATATATATATATATATATATATATATATATATATACATATATATATGTATGTATGTATGTATGTATGTATGTATGTATGTATGTATGTATGTATGTATGTATGTATGTATGTATGTATGTATGTATGTATGTATGTATGTATGTATGTATATATATATATATTTAAACTAGGTTTTCTCCCAAGTGACACTGCAAAGCATCATCAGCAACACGTGCTTAACATTCTACAACAGTAATTTATTATTTAATTTTGTTTTTGTATATTACTGATATATAAATATAATTTACATAAAACAGTTGTAATTTAATTATCATTTAAGTTATTTTAAGCACAATTTTATAAAATTTGATTGTTTTTATAAAAGTAATTAAATTTTAGATATTTTAACAATCATCAATCAAATTTAATTTAATTCATTAATTACCATATTTTTTAAAAAACAACAAAAATAACTTTAAAAACTAGATGCTAATTCTTAATGTTTATTATTATAATTTTTTTAAATTAACTTTTTTAATTTAATTTTATTATTAGCCTTGAGTGTGAACGGCAAGATCCTCCATATAATGTTTTATTTAAACAATTATAAATTATAACTAATATTATACACAGCCTTTTAAGATGCTAATTACAACTTTTAATCTATTGTTCTATTATGTTTACTTTATAACTGTTTTTTACTATATTATTATTTTTTTTAAAATCATTTTTGCATTCCCTATAAATTGTTTTCAAAGAGTTTTAAACTTTTTACAAAAATTTACATAACTCAATATTCCTTTTTGTCTTTTTTGGGTTGCTGTTCATATACAAGAATATTATATACAGTCATTTTACTTTCACTTTCACTTTTATTTTTGCTCTTTATCCATGTGGCAAAAAACAAATAAAACAACATCTGCTTCAATATTGCTTTTTTTCATGGAACCTGTTTTTTTCTTGAATTTAAGTTTAAAAGCCATTGTTGTAGCCATCTCTTCCATAAATGGTGCATAAATTCTTGAGTTCTATGCCAACATCTCTTTAAATTTTCAATATCAATGTTTTCTGGTGATTTGGTGATGACAATGTCATTAGCTAATCTTGATGACATTGTCATCAAGATTAGCTGATTAATATATTAAAGGTTGTGAGTTGATTCTGCTTCATTAAATGCTATCATCAATTCTTTGTCATTAACATCAACATTACCTAAATTACCATATCTATAGTTTTCATTGTAGACTTTATTTTTGTTTTATGTGCTCAGATATCAAGTTGGCATACCATGAAATGAAGGAGTGCAAAATTTAAAAAATAACTTTCAAATTGCTTTTTATCAATTAATACACATACAAAGGAAACTAATGAAAAACAAAGACTAGTACAACCCATGTGAACATTGTAACCCAATATTGTGAAAAAAGATATATTAGCAAGTTAAAGAAAACAAAAGTAAAGGATGATGGTTGGTATTTACCTCATTTCCCAGTTATTCGAATAAATCATCTGACTTCTAAAACTAGAGCAGTATTTTAATGGATCAGCTAAATATGACAGGTTATCACTCATCAACACTATTTTTCAAGATCCAACTTCAGTAAGATTTGTTTTAAGTGTTACTATGGTTTGGATGAGATCCTGTGACTGTGGTTTGTGATATAGCAGGGTGGCCAGCGGTCCTTGAAAACCTGGAAACGTCCTAGAGTTTGAAAAGTCCTGGATAAATACCCTTTTTAACAATAAGTTCTGGAACTTTTTCTGAAATATAAATAGTATATAAAAATAATATTTAAATTTTTCTGAAATTTAATATTTCTTAAATATTTTGTTATCATGTTTTTAATATTGCGTAGATTTCTACTGAATTTATTAATTATGTATTTTCTAAAATGCAAACAAATTTTCATTAATTTTAATATCTACTAATTATTTAGAAAATATAATGTGTAACTAATGCAATACTTAAGACAAAGAACTGCCATTTTCAAACAGATTGGCTATACAACATAAGTATTCTTCTTGGGTAAAATTTTGCACTCTTAGTTCTAAAAAAGCAAGATGTAATTTGTGCAGAACATATATTGATATTTCTAACATAAGAGTAAAAGCCTTGTATTCTCATGCATCTGGTAAGAAGCATAAACACATAAAAGAAGCAGATACATAATGCAGTATATATATTGTACTGGTGGTTTATTAGTTTTTATTTTAATTTAAGTTTTTTTACTTTTATTTAAATATATGTTTTCCTGAATTTTGAAAAGCTTGCAGCAAATTGATTGACTGTGTTCTTTACATGATAGTTTTAAGTTTTTTTTTTACATTTTTTATTCTTAAATTTTACTATAGAAAAATCATCAGCGAAGCAGCTATCAGTAACTTACATAAAAGTTCTCTTGATTCAAACAAATTAATAAACTACAAATCAGTACAGCCTACTATAGAGGATCTTCTATCTCAAGTTCTGGTTACCTAGACAGAAATAATATGGACCTTGAATGTAATAATATTGAATTTTTCTTAAAGATCATGCTTAAATTTAAATAAAATATTCAAATTCATGTTCTCTGACAGTACAGTAGCATCAAAGTTTGCATAAGGTAAAACAAAATGTGGTTACTTTATTAATTTTGGATTAGCACCTTACTACTAAGACCAGCTTTTCTCAAAATGTTATCTTCAAAAATAAACAAACAGATTTTGGAGTTAGATACTGGGATTTAAGTTCTGGTGTTGTAAAAGCTAGATATATTAACTCAGAATTCCTCAGGCGCCTTAATTCACAGAATTTATTTGACAAACTTGTTGAAGCAACAGAGGTGTTTAATCTTGGAAAACTAATTCAAATATCAATGGATGGTCCTAATGTTAATTGGGAGGTTCTGAAAATGTTAGATATACATAGACAGAAAAAAGAATATTGTGGTATAGTTAATATGGGGAGTTACAGTTTGCACATTGTTCATGGTGCCTTACAGACAGCATTAAATTTGCTTATTCCCAAAAATAGGAAAAAGCGAAAATATTTTGCGCAATTTATAATCTTTTTAAAGATTCACATTGTATTCAGAAAAAATTAAGAAAGCCAAAAATAAATTATCTCGGCATTGCTGAATGCTGACCCTAATTCCGAGGGTTAATATATATTTATATATAAAACATATTTTGAAGACAACATATTTTGTTTTTTTCTGGCAGAGGAAAGATCAATATATCCTTGTAAAACCCCAAATTATCCTTGAAAAGTCCTGGAAATATCCTAGAACTTTAAGTTAGCTTTTGGCTGGCCAACCTGTATAGCGGAAACGTATCTACAAATTTGCATTTCATAAGATATCAGAAAATTTCAAAAATTTTTGCAGAAAGAACTTATATCAAACTAGATATTTTTGAATTCGAAAGAGTAGTTTTTGGAATTTGTCTCCATTTATGGGACTCTGTATATATCATTAGAAAATGCAAAGATAAACATGGAAAAATATTTGGGATTTTTTGTTTCCAAACTCCAATCATTGCACTTTTTTGCCTTATTTGGCAGATAAATATAAACATATTAATGTTTTGAGTTTGCTCCATGCCTTGAAGTCAGGTCAAAAGAGTACGCAGATATTTGTTTTAGCTTTTTATGTATAGTGCTGCATGTTGGAAATGTATTAGAATCAAATTGGGAAACTATTAAAAATTTTTCTTTAGATTAAATAAATATGTTATTAACAGGTTCCCAATCTTTTTTTTCGTACTTAGATATACTGCCATTTTCCTCTTGAATTAAAGTTGAAGAAAGACACCTCACCTGCTGGAAAACGGCACCTGTTATCCCTATTTTAAAAAATTCTAAAGAGCGATCTGATTTGTCTAACTACCATCCCATTAGTCTTCTTCCTATCATAAGCAAGGTTTTCGAATCTTTAATTAACAAACACATAATCTCTTATCTTAAATCTAATAACTTACATTCTGATCATCAGTATGGATTTCAATCTTCTCATTCTACAGCTAATTTGCTAACAGTAATAACCGATAGGTATTATCCTGCATTAAATAAAGGTGGAGAGGTTAAGGCTATCGCTCTTGACATTTCTAAAGCTTTTGATAAAGTTTGGCTTGCTGGTCTTCTCCATAAGTTTTCTTCTTAAGGCAGGGCTTAATTTAACAGTCGGACATTTACAAAGTCATCGGACATTTTGTCCGGCGGGATTTTTAATTTTTTAAAATAAAATTTTATTTGTTGATTTGAAAATGACAAATTTAAATTTAATGTAAAATATTAGACAAACTTATAAAATATGTTGATAATGGGGGAATTCATTCCCGAAAAAAGCGCTGTTATTAATTGTAGTTTTAATGACTGTTCTTTAACAGTTTTATTGTTATATTATTAAATTTAAAATTATTGCTTATTTAAAACGTTTGCAAAATGGATATTATAAAAAGCGAATGAGCAAATTAACTTTGAAAAAGCGCCTAATCTAAGAAATGTTGCATTATTGAATTCTACTGATATTTCAATTATGTAAAAGTTTTTTCAAGAAGTCAAAAGATGAGATTACAATAATAAAAAGAAGCTTAAAAAAAATTTAATTATATCAAAATGGGGAAAGTTGGATTAGCTAATTTTTTTTTTTTTCGTAGAGTAAATAAACTCTCATTGAAAAAATATTTTGTTTTACAAAGTAAGTCAAAATATGTTCGATTGATTACTGGGAAATTCCATGTAAAAAAATCCAATTATTTTTGAAAATGCAACCATAAGTCTCAGATTTTGCTGATTTTTAAACCACTTAAAGATTTTAGTAAACTATGAACATCCTGAAAATTTTATCGTCTAATTTCAATCGGTTCCTAAGATATAGCTATTTTAAGTTTGCCTCCAACCAACAAAAATCCACCATTTTTAAAAATGCTTTTGGTCCTAGTTTCTGTTATATGTGTGTTGGAAAGCTGAAAATTTGTACCTTTACATATTTTGGGCCAACGAATCCAATGAAACAGCCTAAAATATTTAAAAACAAGCATAACACCTAAAATTTGAACGTTTACCACAATTTTACTGGGGCGAGCCCAACCACAAAAATGCCAATGTAGCTCGATTTTTTTTTTTTTTTTTTTTTTTTTTTAGAAGTTGTCCTGAATAGTTAAGCTATAGTTACTACAAAGAATTGGAAAGTGGTCTTTTCTAAGAAATAAAAATATGGTCAAATCTACTTAAATTTATTGCTTAAAAAACAGGTATTATGACAAATTAAACA